AGCGGATTCAACGCAGTCGAATACAAGGGAGAACCAATTGTCCAAAAAGCCGTCGTAGCCAAATCCATCATCCCAACCAAGACCATCGTAGCTGCTCCAGTTTACAACGCCTACCATCATTAAGAACTTGACATTTTATATTATATTTATGAATTTGTAAGAAATAAACTAGAGTAAAATTACATCTTTTTGTTATTTATTTATTTTTCATCAATGCAAATTCTATAGCAATAATGAAATATGACAATTAGTCACAAATTATTGATGTTTGTATTTTTTTTAATAGAAGAACTCATTTTAAAAATTTATATTTAAATACAGGTTTATTTTAAAACAATATTGCTATGATTTAGAAATTATAATTATACATAAAATATCATAGTATTTATATTTAAATAATATTTTCACTTAACAAAATACAGCAAACACTTCTGTTTTAATCAGTAAGGAAATGAGGCACGAGGAAATAAAATTTTAAGTGACTAAATTAAAAATTCATTTTAAAAAATAGTACACAAAATTATATTTTATACATACATCAATAAAATTTTATTGAACTGAAAAAGCGAAATCAAAATTATATCCATAATACAAAGAAAAAGATAATCAAATAAAACAATAAAATAATATATAATCCTCAAAATATGAATAACCATAAAATAATGAAAAATAATACAAGTAGAATCGAATATATATTCACGTCCATAAAGAAACGAGAAATCTCATACAAACATAATATTAAAAAATTGTATTTACAGATACAAATTTTAAAATATTATTAAGAAATGGCTCATTGGCCGGAGAATTTCCATACCATTTATAATTATTTTTGTACAATTGATATTTGTATTTCAATAGACCTTTTACAGCAGATAATAGTTTGTGTTTTAGTATTTTTGTTGTGAATAAATATGTTTATTTTTTACTATTTCCATGAACATTATTATTTGTATTAGTTTATTAAATGTTACTAAAAAAAAAATAATTTAGTATTAACACACATGAAATAAATAGTACTTTCAATAATATTATTTAGTTCTGTTAATAATTGTAAGTACCTGTACAAAATATAAAAATCATCTGAGGTCAATTAACTAATTGTTCAAAATGCCGTCGTTACCAAAGCCATCATCCGTACCAATACCTTTGCAGTATACAAGGTTTTCGATCACTAAAACAATTATGTAGAGTATTTTTTATATTATAAGAAATAAAACAGTAACTGATAAGAAATGAAGTAATTTTTGTTTGTACATTGCTTTGAAGTTTATATGAAAATAAATAAATTGAAGAAATTTCTATTTTGAAACTGCTCGAAAATCGTACAAAGTATACTTTGTCTGCTTAAATTTAAAAAGAAGAAGATATGTCATTGGACAGTGTTTATAAGATGAAAAAGTACTCTGAACTAGTTTAAAAGGTAATTTGTCTTCCACTGAAAGTTATAAAATGTATTTTATTATTGTAATATGATAATTGTATTATTTCTATTACGGAATAATCTTGTCGTTAGCTTATAGATGTGTAACCATCAAATTTGAACTTCAATTCGGCTATCGACATATCTGCCTACTCTATTTTATTTTTTTTAAACGCTTTTGTAAATGTAATATTCTTAAATGTTATAAATAGTATATTATTATGTAATATTTATTATATATATTGTTATAAATATACATACATTGAGAAATACTTTATTTTGAATACATTTAGTGAATAAATAAAATTAAATTAAATAAGTGAAAAGTCACGAAAGAACACTTGGAAATCGAATAGTTTCATGAAATGGATTGTCTTCAAAGTTCCACTTGTAATCACTATTTTAGTTATAAAAATATTTATTATAATTTTTTATTGGCAAATTTATTGACCCATTTTGACAAAAGGGCTATCAACTGATGTTCATATTATACCTGGATTATAATTAAAATATTAACCTGCTCATAGTTATGTAATAATATATATATATATTTATTGACAACTAATTGTAATTAAATTTACACAAATTTAACTGCAATATAATAGTTAAATGTTTATTCTCGTTTGAAAATAATTGAGATTATAACAATGATGCTATAGTTAACATTTCAATAAATTATCAAATATATTTTAATAAACTTCCAAACCGTAATTTCTTATTTTATTTAAATCTAGAATACAGGAAAGCATAATCTATATTTGTTGTATTTACTACATTACATATCTGAATGTATGTATTGTATTAATTTTATGTTTTATAACATATAATTAAATATAATGTCAGAAAAATTTATATACAAAAACGAATTAGGTTTTATCACTTTTTATTATTCAAATTTAAAACTTTATGCAAATGATATAGCACTGATGTAAAATGTAAATTGTTGGGTTGTCTTTTAATGAATAGTGCAAGAGAATTTACCAGTTTTAAAGCATAATTTATGTTATTTAAACGTATATGATATAACACAATTACTTCCGTAGTGTTATTACTACATAAAATAACTTTTTTCTTAGTTAAATTTATACTTACGTAATATCTTCAAATTCTAATTAACAACTTACCTCGTACTTTATAAATAAAACTTTAAAAAACTTTTACTTTTTGAAGAAACTTAATAATTCATATTTTTTTTATGTCGTGTAAATTTATTCACTGTTCATCAATGTGAATATTGAGTAAATTTAAGATCGCGGTTGACATTAGATAGGTATCTTTCCCAGTGGATAGTTACCATTATGATAAGTTTTAATTTAATTTTGAACCTGTGCCCACTAGCACGTGGGTAGGGCGACTTAATCATTCGGTTATTAGTCGCCCAAAGCCTGTTATGAAAAGTTATTAAGATAAATTATTCAGATTAAATGTACATACAAAATTTCTGAAATAATAGCTCACATTGATATTTCTGTAAATAAATACTTTGATTTAATTTCATTATTATTTTAATTTACCTTTGGAAACATGCAAAACTAAGAACTTTATTTGAAGATACGAAGTGTCTTTACAAATAATGTACTTATATAGTATAGATAAAACGTTTATTATCAATGTTATCGTCAGCACTTTTAAGTAATGTTTGTTCATTTTTTAAATTCTAATATATTATTTTTTATTGAGAATTAATATTTTATTTCAACGTTGATCAAACGTTTATTTTTAATAAAATTATTTAAATTTGGAGATAATGTAACAGCAATTAAATAAATCAAAATAAGCTTATGCAATTATTTTTTTCTTTAAACTAAATAATTATAATATCATTTAAATTCTCGGAATTTTGTGCAATTTTTGTGGCTCGAATTTCAGAGAAGCAGGTTTGTCACTTTACATAAATGAAAGAACAAGTGTAACAAGTAGAAACCTGCATGCTCATGCCCACTTTTTCCTTTCGAAGTGTTACTTAATAACTGAATGCGACCTAAATAAGTATGCAGCGCAAAGCGTTACGTAGGCCTCAAAAGTGTATCAACTTTTTTTGGCGCACGTTAACCGTAAACTTGAAATATTTCGCGAGCAAATTCCTTTCATTTTCTCTTTAGCAATCCAATTAAAATAGCTTACAAAATATGCTATTTAATACATTCCTAATTCATTGATAAAATATTATGCGCATAGAATGTGAAAACACGTATCAGAATAATGTAATTATCAATAATGAAATAATAATATTTAGTGGAACAATTAAACTTAGATAAATAAAAATTTACATCTTTTTATATATTAATAAGAGAAATAAAAATAACTGTTACAGAGTCAATATCACCATGGTGAACACTTATATCATGTCTCGTTAATTATTAAACCACAAGATATTATTTAAATTGGAAAACCAGAATAGTAAACCACATATTAAATAACTTGCTTTTACTTTTGTTCTTACTTCATTAAATTTCGGACAATAAAATTGGGTCACATTATTGCCCGAAGGCATAACTTGTGACAATTCGAAGAAAGGAGAATACGCGATTTAATAAGTATTGTATGTATATGTATTTTGAAAATTCTTAAAGTTATTATAAAATTTGTATACGTTACTTTTAATTTGTAAATGCGTTTACTTTATAAACTAAATTAACAGTTTATAAAGAGGAATTTTAATCATTATATATACGTTTTTATTAAATTATTATTTTAATAATTCATGTATTCCGATATAACATACTACTTTTACTATACGATTTCACTCTACATATTCTTAGAGTTATATATATCTTAACATTATTGCTGAGCGTATTTTTATCAAATATTATAACATTAAATAATTAGCAATTATCTAAAATACTTTTCCATTAAGAATTGAAACCATAGATCAAAATTATTTATGTATTTTGTGTCGTTAACCTTGTTGAATTAAATACAAGCAAAATTTATTAATATTATTAATAAGTAATAATACAAAGTGCTATTGACTATAGATCTTTCTACTCTAGTATTATTATCCATGTTTTTTCTTTTTCTTTGTAAATTACTACAATACTCCTGGTAGAAAACTCGCAATTAATTCTTATTTTAAAATAACAAACTTTCACAAAAAATGTAATTTTCTTGGAATATTACTATTATAAATATCAAATATGAACTCCAAAAAAAAAATAATGATAAATATAATCAGTAGCAAAAAAATTTATTAAAAAATATTATTTGTTTGATTTATCTGCAATTCGACTTAAATTTATAAAATATTTCTTTAATCGCTTCACATACTAATGTTCTGGCCATTGGCCTACTCGACAACAGTCAAACCACAAACAGGCTGCGTTAAAAACCACTAGATTTAGTATAAATAATTATTAATGTTCAAAATAATCATAATGGTAACTATCCACCAGGAAAGATTATCCATTTAATGTCAACCGCGATCTTAAATTTACTCAATGTTCACATTGATGAACAGATTGTGTATAAAATTATACGATATAAAAAAATACTTTTCAGAATTTTATTTTTATAAATATATACAAGTTAAATATATAATAGTTATTAGTGGTGATAGGCATTGAATACTGAAGCAGCAACGATGTTCTTAGATACTACGGCCTTTTTGGACAATTGGTTCTCCTTTGTATACTACTTCAGCGTTGAATCCGTTGTGGGAGTCAGCAGAGTAGTGCACGATACGGGTAACACCATCAGGTTGGACCAAGGTATAATATCCCTTAACAACATCACCATCACGTTCTTCATGTTGGTTCTTGACATCACCAGTGTGGTCATCTTGAACTCCGTATTGGTAAGAATATTGTGGATGAGCATCAGCGTATACTTCTTGGTGAACAGCCTTGATGATTGGGATAGCATATTGAGATACTGGGGTAATTCTCTTTACAACAGCTGGGGTAGCATGATAAGCAGCAACTGGAGCAGCATAAGTTTGAACTGGAGAGTTGTGGTATGTAACTACTGGGGTGGCATAATGAGCAACTCGGGCAGACTTGACCAGAGTTGGATAATGGTTGATCGAAGAGTAGGAAGAAGCTTGTTGGTTGTGTCCGAGTTGAAACTCACCAGCTTGTGCAAAAGCCACGACAGCGGAGATAGCTAAAATCTAAAACAAAAATATAATTATTAAATAAATTATATACATTTAATACTTTTTAATTTAGTTCGTCCTACTTTTGAGATCATGTTTGTAAGCGAGGAAAGTATATACTGTTCGAATTTATTTCGTGTGTTTTAAATAAAACCGGTCCCACCCAAAATTATTACATAACATATCGTTGAAATATGTATCGTTGAAAATACACAAGCAAACAACGTTCAACCGTGAACTTGAGAACGTATTCACATAATTTACTTAACACAGTTCTATTAATATTTGAATAATGTCTACAAATTTTTCAATTATGAAACGGCGCATTTAATTGCTCATTTTTTCAATTCATATGGTATCTAATTAAACATGTTATTCAATTAGCACAAAAATAGTTTCGTAACGTTTTGAAAGTATGAATTAGTGCGAGTAGATTTATAGTGCGTGAATAATTAATCCCGTGCACGATTTTTAGCAAGTTCTAGGTTAAGATTGCATTGCAATATGTTTCTAAACTAAAGTTATTTGGAACATATTCAATTAATTTATAATAAAGTAATAGTGAAAATAAGTCAGTGATGAATTATCTAATTATATATTTTACATTAGATTTGACTTATGGTGAATATTCATTTACACCAATATTAAGAAAAACGTAGGAAAAAATACTGTCCCGCCTGTCATCAATTTTTCTGCGAATCCCCCAAGTATATTTCGCGATCCCCACTATTAGAAACACTGATTTACACCACCAATAAATATATAAATTAACTATATTTTGTAATAATAATGCGGAAGAGAAATACTTAAAAGTAAAATCGATTTATGTAAAAATCTACTAGAATTTGTGATTAAGAAATATTTTACTGCCTATTATATAAAGATTGTATAATTTTAACTGACATAAATAATAAAACAATGTTCACATGATTATATTATTGGACAACATACATTTAGTTAAGAAATATCTACAACACTGGACGGTAACCACAATGGATACATATAGTATTCGTCGATGTAAAAACGTGACATAAATTCCTTGAACATAAGCAGGTTATGTATAATCGACAATAGGTTAACAGGAAGCAATTGTATTTTTTTTTAACTTAAGTAAGAATATCATTTGTAAAACATGAGTGAGCAACTGGAGTGACATAGTGGGATACTGGAGTTACAGTCTTGACTACAGCTGGAGTGGCAGAGTAGTCAGCTACTAGAGGAGTAAGAAGTGGCATGGTGAGCATGTCCAGGTTTAAAAAAATCCAGCTTGAGCGCAAGCTACCAAAGCGGAAACAGCTAAAATATAAAAATAATAATAATATTTAAAATATTCTAAAATCATTGATCTACATATTATATAAACAGCAAAGAAAAAATATATTTTGTAAAAGTGTTTTTATATCTTATGCAATACTGCATACTGGTGTTTATAATTACTAGATCGAATATAATGTAACTTAGAATTTGTATCCAATAGGCATTAGCAGTAGTTGAATTATTTATTTAATAATTGTATGTTGTTTTGAATGAAAATATATTATTATATAATTAAATTATATTATTATATAATATTTTATAAGTGTACTATTCTCAATAGATTAATAATTAAACTAAATTATAATTAACAATAAATTAGTTAAAAAAACAGTTCGGAACGACTATGGTTCTTGGCAGTTTTGCTTAAAGTTCGATCAATATCAATTATGCATAATTAAATAATATTATAAAATAATTGAAATATTTTTAAAACTTAATGTTTTCAATTAATAGCAAGTAATTTTTGGAAAGTCAATCCAGTATTGATTTGTTTTAATTATTATTTTATATTTCAAAAGAATTTCAAAAATGTATTATATCTTCAATTTAAATTGGGAACAAAATTTTTATTGGCCCTTTAATCAGCCAAAAGTCTATTAATTGTGGTCTTTCTGCTACGCATATGTTATATACATATTTCATAATATACAGAATTTAGATCAAAATATTTTATATATAGTTTTTTGCTGTAGATTTAATATTTGATGATGATGAACATCTCTTTTGTATCTCGAAATTAACAGAAGAACTATTGGACGGAAAGATTAGGGTCGATAGACTTTTGGCCAGTTACATTCCTTTAAGTTTATGGAATTTTTATCTTATTTTTGTTTAACTACTTTCTTTTTCAACCATTTTCATGTTGTTATTATTTATATTTTTAATGTTTTTACTGACTTTATACACCTATTCCTCATTATACGCCCGCTATTTATTTATTTTGCTTAATTATGGCACTTTTTAGATTTACGGCCCACAATGTTTCGTTATACGGCTTTTCGCTTTACGGGCAACCTTTTGGAAATGTACCTAGGGTGTACACCAATAAAAATAATAAAAAACATTGGCGGAAAGACTTAGGTCGATAGACCTTTGCTTACAATTGTGACTAATAAAGATTATTATTATTATAAAAAACATTTGTATACATTATAAATAAAACATAAATAAAGAATGAAGATAATAAAACTTCGATTTTAATTTTAAAATTACGAATTCGGTAAAACTAATCATATTGGAAGACTTAGTGCTAAATTGCCCACTTATATTATTTTAAGTCACTATTTGTCATATGGTGACCACGGTGCTCCCGTATTTCTGAAATATTAAAAGCTTCAATGTTGTTTTATTCTGATTCGTAATATTAATTTACTAATATAGTATAGTTAATATTTAATTATTTAAAACTTTGGTCGATAGACTATGATAATAATATATATATATATATA